GGGGGATGCCTGGGGGAGGAGGAACCGTGTGATCATCTACTTTACCCGAATGCAGACAGCGAAAGGGCATGGTATGTGGTGTTGGAAAGGTGTGAGGGTTTGAGAAAACAATTGAGAAGAAAAAGCAAAGAAATCCATGAGGAGTGGGCGCTGGGGCCAGTGAGCCGAGCTGTGAGTAGCTGGTGTTGAGACCTCGTGTCCCCCGTGGGTCCTGGAACTCCCTCCCTCTGCGTGAGAGACCAGGTGCTTGGTGGCTAATAGCAGTGAAGGAGGAGGGCACTGTAGTTCGCTGACCTGGCTGTTGAGAAGACATGTGGAAGGTAAAAGTGATCATGAGGGATGATGCAAGTCTGGGAAGCGCATGGCAGTGAAACAGCAAATGTGAGGTCCAGCCGCCCCACACCCCCTCCCGCAGGAGACGCAGGCCTGGTTTGGAGGTGGGCGCCCGGCGTCTCTTTCCTGCCGTGGGACCAGGAGGGGCAGGGGATGCTGCGTGCTGGAGGGGTTCTGTTCCAGGAAGCCCACGTGGTCTGGGAGCGGCCTGGGTTCCTCATCCTCTGGTCTGAGCTGTCGTCTTGCAAGTGGACGCAGAGTTGAGACGCATCCTCGCAGCATCATGCCCAGGGGAAGCCTGCGTGCCTTCAGCCGCAACCAACAGGCATTCCGCGCCGCCTCTGCCCCACCGACCAGGTCCTCCGGCCTCATTGGCCACGTCTGCACCGCGCATGGCTTCCGAGAGCCTGGCTGTGGAGTGAGCTGGCTTCCCTGCGGGGCGGCGGCTGCTGGGTCCTTCCTGGGGCTTCCGGCTCTGCGCTGCGCGTGGGAAATGCGTGCGGTCCCTCCCTCGGATGGCACAGCCGTGAATGAGGTCATCGGGGCGGGCTTCGGCCGGTGATACATGTGACCTGGAATTGTGATCCTGAGCACATTGGGCTCCCCGGGCGCCCTCGTTCACGCGAAACCTCTCCTGCACGTTCTCACGCGGGTCCTGGGAGCCACGAGGACTCGGCACCCGCGCCTGTGTGTCTGGCATCTGCGTCCGTGTGTCTTGCACCTGCGCCCATGTGCCCGGCGTCTGCACCATGTGTCTGGCACCTGCACCCATGTGCCCGGCGTCTGCACCATGTGTCTGGCACCTGTGCCCGTGTGTCCGGCATCTGCACTGTGTGTCTGGCACCTGTGCCCGTGTGCCCAGCGTCTGCACCATGTGTCTGGTACCTGCCCCCGTGTGCCCGGCGTCTGCACCATGTGTCTGGTACCTGCGCCCGTGTGCCCGGCGTCTGTGCCCGTGTGCCCGGCATTTATGCCTGTATGTCTGGCACCTGCGCCCGTGAGTCTGGCCTCGTCCTGCGGCCCGACACCTGTTAGGCCGTTCAGTCCTCGCAGCAGGCCTGGGAGGCCGGTCTGGTTCCTGCCGTTTTACTGAAGGAGGTTGAGCAGAGGTCACTTCCCCAGGCCGCTGGGCTAGTGAGGCCGGTGTTGACACCGGACCCCTGCGGCCGTGGCTCCCACCGCAGCGGCTCCCCCATTGGAGGTGTGGGCCTGGGAACGCAGTGAGGCTGCCACGGGGATGGAGACAGGGACTTGGGGAAAAAGGAGGTGGCCGCTGGTGGTTGAGAGGCCGGGCTGCTGGGCACTGGCTCACTGGTGCTGCGTGTGGCCTGGCAGGGGTCCAGCTCTTGTCATCCGGGATGCGTGAGGGCTGCCTTCATCATGACTTCGTTCTGCGCAGTCCAGTCCCCTGCGCGAGGGACGGAATCATGGGAAAAAGACTCCCGTGGGGCCAGCCTGTCTGAGGCTGCAGTGACGTGGTTGTGTTCTGTGATTCTTGGCGTTGGATTCGGGCCAGGACGCCCTGCGCTGGGCCCTGGGGGGAGGGGGGAGGGGGGATTAGGGGGAGGAGGAGGAA